CAGGTATTTGGCAACAACAAAAGTGTAAATCAGGCTCTCAGTCCTCTGCTCTGGCAGAGAAAGAAACAAAAAAACAATGCTGAGATAGCTCAACAACTCCTCAGCTGCCTAAAATWTATTTATGGTAAATTTCACTGCACATGATTTAATGATGGTCATAAACATTTCAAGACATTCAAGGCATTTAAAGTCAGATCTTTATTTGACCTGTGATGTTTGTTTCTTCTAAATCTCATATCACTGACATGGTGGGTTGTTAACTATAGCTTTAATGATGTTTTCTTTAAAAGTTTGGACTCAGTCATCCTCACTGCAACTCCAAGGATTTCAGTATTAAAGAACTCTGACAGACTAAAGGCTTTCTGAATGCTGTTTTCTGCTGACGCTGTTTACTAACTGGTCAACTACAGACTCATTTCAGGCCACTCAAATGTATTTATAGACCTTTTAACCTTAAGTGGTTTGCTAYATCCTCAGTTATTCAGTGTTACTATTATCTTTTCACACAGAACAGGTRGAGGAACAAGCTCCTTAAGCCTATTAGTCAGACACCAACAGCTTCTGGAAGTGGGTGCCATTTGGAAAGCAACCAAAGGCTAAATACAGACTACAAAACCCAAACAAAGACTTAATCCAACCAACACACAAGTACAAATATCTGCAGATTTGGGTGTTCAACTTATTTTGGCAGTATATTGTCTTTGTCAAGTTTGTCAACTCTGCACTTCAAATAACCTCTTTAAGTAATTTAGTATGTGAATGTTACCTCGATAAAGTTTTATTCTAATCTTTTTTTACTTTATAAATAAATGAGCAAACTAATTTATTTGAACCTTTTTAAAAATGTCTAAACCAGAAGTTTCATATAACTCATTAGTTTGCTGATCTTTCCATCCTTCTGTCTACATTAATTATGTGGTATTATAACCAGTATTTGATAAAACTGGCAAGTACAGTAAATTTTTAAGCACTTATTTTGTGCAGCATTTACATGTGAAAACTTTTAGATTTAAATTGGCCTGATTTCATTGTAAGATAAAAAAATCAGATGTGTTTACATACATTCAAACCAAGGATTAGCCTTAAAGAATAAGGTTCTCTTAACAAAACATGTAGAATATTTGTTTTTGTTCATTCCCTTCAGTCATAAATGACAGGATTAATATAGCTTGGTCTGCTAGTTAAAGCGCTAAAGGCAGTTAGCCTCTTCTGAACTGTCTGCATGTTTTGTTTACAGTCCAGCTCTTTCTCCCATGACTAATCTACCATGTAACACACTGGCATCATGCCTACCTAGTGGCCGGTTTGGCTGGCTTCAGACAAAGAACGGAGCACTGCTTTGCTCTCTGCCACTTTTCAGAGTCAGAGTCAGAGTGGACCAAGGCTTTCAGGGCAGAAGCCTAAAAGCTGAACCTTTGTTATGCATCCACTGTGTGAAGAGAAAAGCAGGAAATCCTGTTTTAAATAATGTGAATTAGTAAAAAGATGATTTGGGTTTAAACCATGTTTACATGAACAAAAGTTAAAACTCTAAAAGAGCCACACAGTTTGGAGCTTCTGAACTCAAAAAAAAAAACAATAACTTTTTGGTGTGTCAAAAATATTCTCCCTCTTTACCTACTGTACACGCCTTCCAGTGACTGCTCTCGTCCTATTACTGTATTAATCCAACAATAGGATCTGTTTAAAGCAGTGGCAGAGGCTGCAAGGAGAGGGGAACTTGTGTCACGGGTGAGTGGATTGAAATTCATGTATTGAATTTAAAAGCTGGTATGTGGGTAAAGTGTTTGACTATAATAGAATGAGGTCAGGAAACATAATGTAATGTGTAGGACAGACTTGAAAAAAAATCCCCTTATAAAATATGGCTTGTTTCAGTCCTGCTTGCGTAATAAAAATATATTAAAAATCAAAAC